ACTTAGCATTGGTCCAATTAGCGGGGTTACTATTGTCCAGATTTCTCCTATTTCGGGATGTTCTAGCCGCGGGACGTCCTCTCTTCGGGCGGTTAGGCAGTTGAGTTTCCAACACTACAGAAGTAGTCGCGATTTCCATCCCGTTCTCCTCAGCCGTGCGTTTTCTACTCTGCATCCGAGTACCCATAGTGCGTAGATTATTCATAATTAAACTTTCTAGACGTGTTTGGTTGACAATTATGAATAAAACTGATAATATTTGCCTCAAAGAGAATCCGGCAAGTCTATCTGAATGCACCGCTTAAGACAATGGCGGGAGATATGACCCCCTGCATTGGCATGAGAAAGCGTGAGATCTCGTGGCATAAATACTGTAAAATGATACTCACTTAACATACATCAAATTAGAATGAAAACAGAGCTGTCTGTGTTTAGGAAATCTTGTTTTAATATCTCAAACTATCGTAACTAGATACAAATATAATTCATCATTTGTTGAATAAAATGTGTTTATCGGAAAATATGTAACCGAAAAAATAAATAAATAATGTATAACTACCATAGACAAACAAATATGATTACATTCCTTTAATTGAACCTTTGTTTTTATTTCCAGTTATGTTTTATTCAACATTGTTCCAACGATAGTGGATATCATTATAGCTATCATTTATTTTGGTAGTGCATTCAATATGTACTTTGCTCTCATTGTATTCGTGGCTATGTTCCTTTACCTTGGTGAGTGATTGTTCTTATTTACCTTATTCCCATTATGCTGGTTGTTGCAAAATATTATGCATGTATCAATAGCGAGTGTAGTGACGCCATCTTTCTTAGTGGCTGTAGTGACGCCAGCTTGCTTAGTGAGTGTAGTGATGCTATCTTACTTAGCGAGTGTAGTGATGACATCTAATAGCGATTGTAGTGACGCCATCTTACTTAGCAGATGTAGTGATGCCATCTTGCTTAGTGAATGTAGTGACGCCATCTTACTTAGCGATTGTAGTGACGCCATCTTACTTAGCGAGTGTAATGACGTCATCTTACTTAGCGAGTGTAGTGACGTCATCTTACTTCGCAAGTGTAGTGCTGTCATCTTGCTTAGTGAGTGTAGTGACGCCATCTAATAGCAAGTGCAGTGATGCCATCTTACTTAGTGGCTGTAGTGACGCCAGCATGCTTAGTGAGTGTTAGTGATGCTATCTTACTTAGCGAGTGTAGTGATGACATCTAATAGCGATTGTAGTGACGCCATCTTACTTAGCAGATGTAGTGATGCCATCTTGCTTAGTGAATGTAGTGACGCCATCTTACTTAGCGATTGTAGTGACGCCATCTTACTTCGCAAGTGTAGTGCTGTCATCTTGCTTAGTGAGTGTAGTGCTGCCATCTAATAGCAAGTGCAGTGATGCCATCTTATTTAGCGAGTGTAGTGATGCCATCTTGCTTAGTGAGTGTAGTGCTGCCATCTAATAGCAAGTGCAGTGATGCCATCTTATTTAGCGAGTGTAGTGACGCCATTTTACTTAGAGAGAGTGCCATCATGCATTACAATTTTACTTTACACATGTACTGTTTTCGTAATATTTGTAACTTGAAAGTTGTGTTCATATTTTGCAACTATATGACTCAGCTAAAAACATAAAATGTGTAAAAATAATGTTGTTTTTATGCATGAGTGCTATATGCGATGAAGATCTTACAGGAATTAGAAAAATCACATGAATTGCAAAATAATGACAAAATCTTAAAGCAAACATACAATGTACATAGAAATATTGATAAAAATGAGTATATATGTCAAAAAAGTTTTCATGTTGGGCAGTTTTTGGTAGTCTCTTTGCTTATTTGCTAAGTATGTAATACTTGCATTTGTTTTTTTCGTTAATAAAAACAGCAATAATCACCCTCATTTCTTGCAATGAGACATTTGCAAGTGCCTACTAGTTCTGTAACAGTATTGGTTAGAAATAAATTTGATTGTCGCACACTTGGATCCCATTAGATCTTCATTGCATATGACTATCAAAGATATTTGCATACACTTATCTTATGAATCCATGGTAACAGACGATATCATTTTGAGTGGAATATAGCCAGGTAATTTTACATTTAATACTTACAGGTATCACAATCTATATCACTGAGTGGCGTACTAAATTTCGCAGAAAGATGAACGTCTTGGACAATGCAGCAAAACAGAAAGCAGTTGATTCCCTTCTCAATTTTGAAACTGTATGTCTACTATTTATTCTCAATTTAATCTATAAACTGTAAACAGCTTAATTGTAACAGCTAACTGTTTACAGTAACCTTGTTACGACTTACAGTAACCTTGTTATGGCTTACAGTAACCTTGTTACGACTTACAGTAACCTTGTTACGACTTACAGTAACTTTGTTGCGACTTACAGTAACCTTGTTGCAACTTACAGTAACCTTGTTGCGACTTACAGTAACCTTGTTACGACTTGCAGTAACCTAGTTACGACTTACAGTAACCTTGTTGCGACTTGCAGTAACCTTGTTACGACTTGCAGTAACCTTGTTACGACTTGCACATTATGTAATATACATATAATTCAATATATATGCATAATCCATATGGCCACTTTATAATTAAATCTGTTATAGGATTGCACAATACTGCGCTGTTATATTACACAAGTTTTCATATTTAATATTTTCTTTAGTTGCCATGTGAGAATGTTTTCAGAAAAATATTAATATCATAAAGTGTAAACTTCCTTTCATTATTAAATGTATGCATTTTATCACATATATTTAATTTGGTGATTTCAGAGGTTCTCCTCAGTGTTTTCACAGTGACAGAATATATAATATCAGTGTCCGGTGATGAATACTTATAACTAATTATATTTTCATATAGTAGGCAACAGGGGTTTTTCTAGAAAAAAAATGCAAGAGGGAGCACTGCAATTCAGCGAAGCCACCAAGTGGGGGAGATAGGGTTCTCCCTACCAGGGTGTGGAGTTTTTGATAATTTTAGGTTAAAATGGAGCATACTATGGCTTCCTTGGGGCCAAAATTACTATCAGACAGGTCATAGTTGAAGACTGTGGCCACATAAGATCCCTGGTCAATCAGAATTTGATGGTTGTCCGAGGATCTGCTCCCCAGGATAAGGGGGCGCATGGTCATGGAAATGGACATTAGAAATAGTTGTATATCACGGTTTCATGTATGATATTGTGTAATTTTTCATTGTCAGGTGAAATATTATGGTGCTGAACAGTACGAGGTAAACCAATTGAATGATGCTGTTCTTAGTTATCAGGTTAGTGTGACATACACGACAATGTTACATTGTTGACATCTTGATCAATGCTGCATATAACTCTAGCCTGTTTCCTAATTTAGCTTGCCTAAGCCCAACCCAATTTTTTTGTTATCCAAGATTAAATTTGGTTCTCTAGCTTTCACACAGTCAAAACATCATTAATTTGGATGAACTAAAGCGCCCCTTTTTCTTTGGAATGCATAATTACTCGAAATATCTAGCTATTTTGAATAGGTAATTATGTACATAATATTCATAATCCATTAGCTGATTTAGTCCAACTATAATGGACTTATGGTTTAATTCTGTGCATAAAAGTTATAAAAATAGATTGACTTTCTTTTCAAAATTTGTAAGACAATTTTGATATACCAGTACAGGTACAAACCAGAACATTATGAATTCAGTGATTCATAGAAATACCAGTTTCCTTAGTTACCGGTATTTATTAAAACTTAGGTACAATGTACTTTACTCAACATGCTTTTTTTTGTAGACTGTTGAATGGGAATCGCAGGCATCTCTGAATGTACTAAACACCGCTCAGAATGTGATAATAACATTGGGATTGTTGGCTGGTTGTTTACTGTGTGCTCAATATGTAGTAGATCCTGATACAAGATTTACTGTAAGTACTGTACTGTAAATATTACAGTCCAACCTGTGTTAGTGTTGGAAAACCATTTTCTCAATTTTTGGGAACAGTGGCTATGATGTCATACTTTACCCATAATCCTTTACTGGAGAATCAAGATGGTGGACACAGCCAGTTGATGTACAAGTGATAACAAAATAAATGTGAATAATGTACTGATACAAAACTGCCAATATTAACTATATGGGGCTCAGAATGGGTGGTGGACAACATAAAACTGATGGAAAGTTTAATATCTAGAGAATGAAAAATGTAGATTGCAATTCACTACATTCAATTACTCACCATAGACTCCGGTCAGTCAAAATGACTATTTTGAACTGCAGGCATTAATCAGCAATTCTGCCGGTGACGGAGAGATAGAATCCAGGTCAGGGGAAGCCCCATGACCTCAAGATTCTTTTACCCCTTACGTCACGAACCCACGTGACCGAGGCCACCTGGCAGCGCCACAGGTAGCCGTCCATCACTCTTAATTTCTCTCTGCCTCGAGTGGAGATGAAATCTAGCGAGCTCTGCTGGATCGCCTGCCTTTTTTTCCTGTCCGGATTTATGGCTTGGGTTGTTGCCGCGGCTCGGCATCCGACATTGTAGCTGGTAGGATAAGTTTTCCTTGTCATTAGTCCCCGTTCAGGCGCAGCCTGAAAAGGGGACTACTAATTCAGGTTATGTCCATAATTCCGTCTCCAACATTTTCTCAGAATTCTACAGCAGATATCAGTGAAACTTGGCAGGTTGATGAACATGTCCCCTCCGAGTATGCACGTAATTTTTTTTCCAGATCTGAAAATCCCAAGTGGGTCTTTTTCACGATTTTATCAAAAATTGCCTCTCCCGGCAACATTGACAAACGTCTGCGCATGCTCAGAATAAATTAATTACTGTAAAATACTTTATTTTTGCTGC